ATTGGCTGCACCAATTTGCAGTCCCACCAGCAATGTATAAGTGTACCCTTTTCCGCACATCCTCACCAGCACTTGTTGTTTGACTTCATAATGGCTGCCATTCTTACTGGAGTGAGATGGTATCTTAGGGTGGTTTTAATTTGCATTTCTCTGATTGCTAGAGATGGTGAGCATTTTTCCGTGTATTTGTTGATTGATTGTATGTCCTTCTCTGTGAAGTGTCTGTTCAGGTCCTTGCCCCATTTGTTGATTGGGTTATTTGTTTTCTTATTGTTTAATTTTTTGAGTTCTTTATATACTCTGATTATTAGGGCTCTATCTGAAGTGTGAAGAGTAAAAATTTGTCCCCAGGATGTAGGCTCCCTATTTACCTCTCTTATTGTTTCTCTCCTGCCTTTAACTTTTTTATGAATTACTTAAGTTTATGGAATCCATTTCCAAATAAGGGTTTTTTAAGTCTATTTTTATTTATTAATTTACAGTGCTAACTTTGGCTCTGTTTCCATTAGGAGATGAAAGCATGGAAATTAAAAAACAAATTACAGGGATGAGAAGATTACTGAATGACAGCACTGGGAGGATATATCAGCGTGTTGGCAAAGAAGGAGAAAAATTAAAAGAAGAGCCCCAGGATTTGGATTTAGTCTGGCCTCAGCGTTTGAACTCCTCTGCTGAGGCCCCACAGAGCCTCCATTCTTCTTCACGTGGTGTGTGGAATGAGCTATCACCTCAAAGCGGGCAGTTCTCAGGGCAGTATGGCACCCGTTCTAGAACCTTCCAGAGTCAGCCCCACACCACTGCAAACTCCAACGGTATGGTTGCCATCAATCATTCAGAGTGCACTTGTGGGGTTTATCCTGGCTTGTTTTATCTCTAAATATTCAGTCAGTTTTCTGAGATCAATTTATTAAACCCTACCTTAGTTAACCACCTTCACTGATTTATTTTAAAAGACAGGGAAGATGTAAAGAAAAAAGTATATTAAAAAAACTCAGAACTGAGAATCAGGGAAGACAGAGGTGCTGTGTTAGACATGAAGATTCCCTAGTAGTAGTTTCAGCCCCTTAAGAAGTTAAAGTGGGGCTGAGGTCGTATCTCAGTAGTAGAGTGCTAACCTCGTATGTGGAAGGCACTGAGTTCGATCCTCAGCACCACATAAAAATAAAGGTATTGTGTCCATCTACAACTAAAAAAAAAGAAAAAGTGATCATCCGTTGACAAACAGTTGTTATTGCTACAAAAGCTCCACTTTATCACTATAAGAAACTTCCTGGTCATCTGTTGTATTATTAATGTAGCTTTTTGCTTCTTTCTTCATGTTGCTTTAATGAGAGGGAGACTGAGAACTTTTAGCCTCTTGTGTGACTTCCCCGCTAACTCCACTCCAGTGCTGAATCATAGAACCTATATTTTATAACTTGCTTCATTAGCACTGAAAAGTATTCCTTTAAAGTAAAATTTCCTTAATTTAGAAATCCCTGATTGTTAAGGAAAAAAAACAATTTTTTTAAGCTTAAGGAAAAAATTGATGCTTTTCTTGTTCATATAAATTTTCCATCCAGTGACATTGGATGTCATTTGTTTATAAGTTTTGTATAGATATATAGTTTTTTACATAGATAAAAGGTATTTTCTATTTCCTCAAAAAAATTAAGCATTTTCTTCTATTATTTTCATTCCATGATATCCGTCAAGAAAAAGAGAACTGTTTTGAATTTTTTTTTTTAAACACAATTCTCAATACTCAGTTCAGGGACATGAAAAGCCATCCTGAGACACTGACAAGGCAGTGAGGGACCCCAGAGATGCATGGTGTCTTTTCTCCCTCTCACTATTACATAAGCCAATGTCAGGTTCACATGTGGGTGTGAGGTAGGTGGCTCGTTAAAGACTCCTCCATGCAAATAAAAAGTCTCCCTCTAAAATTAGAAAATTATGTATAATAAACTGAGAAGGGTTGGTTTTGTTCTATTCCCCTGAAAAAAATAGTATTTAGAATAGTGCCTAGGGATATTCTGTAAAGCCCTTTCAGCTAACTACTGCTGTGGAAGAGACAATAAGAGAAATAAAATGTCCTTTGGTATATATGAAGTTGGTGAGCCTTACATAGGTAACCTTGGGGCAACAAGAATTCTGCTTTCTAATCACAACAAGGATGGTGGATTTGTTTGGGGAACTGTTATTACTGTTAATAAAATTTACAAATATAAATTTTTCCCTGTAAGCTTGAAAATAGATCTTTTTGTGCTTATTGCTTTAATACTTTCATTAATAATGCTTTATACATTTGACCCTTGAATAACATGGGTGTGAACTGTGCAGGTCCACTTATAGGAGGACTTTTTTTTTTTTTGAGATTTGCAACAATATGAGAAAACTTGCGGATAAACTTTGTAATCTGCAGATAGCAAAACAATTTAGTAAAGGTAGATACATAATGAATACATAAAATAAATGTAGGGAATAGTCTATTTCATAACTTGCTACCATAAAATAAACATACATGTATTATAAAAATTTATCAAAACTGATACACATGAACACTGAGCATGAAACTACACGTCTTCATGTACAGTTGAAAGAAATGTAAACAAATGTAAAGATGCAGTATTAAATCATAATTGCATAAAATTAACTGTAATACATACTGTACTAGGGATAATTTTGTAGCGGCCTCCTGTTGCTACTGTGGGGAGTAAAAAATTAGAGGGAGACAGGCATGGTGGCATGTGCCTATAATCCCAGCAGCTCAGGAGGCTGAGGCAGTAGGATCGAATTCAAATCCAGCCTCAGCAAAGGCAAGGCACACTAAGCAACTCAGTGAGATGCTATCTCTAAATAAAACACAAAATAGGGCTGGGGATATGGCTCAGTGGTTGAGTGCCCCTGAGTTCAATCCCCAATACCAAAAAAAAAAAGTTAGAGGGAAATGTTATAACTGAATTTTCAACTGCAGGGTAGTCAGTTCCCCTAAACCCTGCTGCATTGCTCAAGAATCACCTGCATGTATCTGTTACTACTTTGGTATTTCACTGGAATTATTTGCAATTTTAAAGTTGTAACATGTCAGTTTGCTACAATTTTGAGCTACTTCAAACATTATCTTCCAGCATTTCATGGTTTTGCAACAGTGAACTTTTTAATATCCACAAATAATGCATTTTATATAATTTAAATTACATCTAATGTATAATAAAACATACTTTTGGAACAAAATCTTAGAACTTACCTCACCCACCTTTCAGAAAACTTGAATGGTAGCTGTCTTTTAAACTTCTTTCTTTTGTCGAGGTGAACATTGATCTTGGAGGGTACGCAAGTCAGAGTTCTTTGCTAAGTGTGCCATTTTATTTCAAAGTCAATAGGGAGCCTATATTTGTTTATATATAAAGTAAACAGAATAAGATAGTCTTATTAAGGCAAATATTATATTAAATTTAAACAGTGAAAAAGAGACTGGGCCATGTATGTACAAAATGTCAAAATAACTCTACTATCATGTATATCTAAAAAGAACAAATAAAATAATAGACTAGGGTGTTGCTCAGTGGTAAAGTGCTTTCCAAGCAGGCACAAGACCCTGAGTTCAATTCCCAGCACGCATGAACACACACGCACATGTACACACACAGAGCAAGAGAGTGGTATAGTGTAGAGACTGTAAGAAATGGAAATGGGTAAAAGATGTCCTATTCTACCCTGCTCGCCCACCCTCCCCACCCCTGGCATACCCGAGCAGTGAGTATTCTACAATTTTTTATGTATTCGCAGCTCTTCAATTTTTAAATGACATGCTTATTATTAAAACTATTTTTTAATAGTTTCACTCAATATGAACTTTGATATCATACACAGCTACCAGTTGTTTTTTAAGGCTATTCTCAGAGCTAGTTTTTTGGGGTTTTTGTTTTTTGTTTGGGTTTTTGTTGTTGTTGTTGGYTTGTTGTTTTTGTTTTTGGTGCAAAGTAGCCTGAGTGTGTTTATAGTGACTTTTGGGGTATTGTTATCTGAGACTAACTGGTCTGACAGTAGGGAGGCCTGCTGTGGCAGCTCATTGTGTGCATGTGTTCATGCAGGCCCTGCCACCTGTGACACAATAAGCATCTCATAATACAGAACCCTCAGTAATTAGATAAATTCAGACCCAAAATTTAGGTTGTGAAAATTATTGGGTATATTTCCTCAAGCACAGTTTCAAAATAATTGCACATGTTTCGAAATCCTGTCAAGATCCTTTCTCTTTATAATTTTTTTTGTTTGTTTGTTGGGAGTATGCTATTCTTTTCTTTCATGCTTAGGAGAACTTCCAATGGTGAATTCGTCAGTTGGATCAAACTGCTGTACTTGTAACTGCCAGTCAACATTGCAGGCCATTCTCCAAGAACTCAAGACCATGAGGAAATTAATGCAAATTCAAGCAGGTACAAAGATCAGGCCTCTGAACGTGTCCATTCGTTAATGTACACCTGACATCTTCAATTGGGATGTTCATTGCTCTTTTGTTACAGAATCCTTCCCACCTTGTGTCTTTTCAAGTGTCCATTTTTTATGCTTTTTTTTTCTACAGTTCTATTTTTTTCTTTTTGTTAGCAAATCAAACAAAATTTTTATTGTCCCTAATACTACTCATATGCTTATGTACATTTACTCCATATACTTCATCCTACAGTCTCTTGGTACTTGACAAATGTCAGTTAATTAAATTCTGGAACATGCTACGTGAAAAAGCCCTTTAGGAAGTACAGTCTTTGCTATTGAAGCTATTCAAGGATGTGAGTAGTTGAGAAGTGTTGAGCCACAGACTCTGCTTGTGACGTTTCTCTCTCACCTGCAGGATGTAGAAGCTCAGAGACACTTCACATCTGTCCCCTTCATTTTTGACTCCTTTTGTTTATTCTTACCATCATTGAACAAGGTGAAGAACAGAAAAGCAGCAGATATGTAATTGGGACTTGGATACCCAGTTTCTCCTATCTAGCTGTATGACTTGTGAGCTTCTCAGTTCTCAATCTGTAAATGGAGTATTAATTTCTAACTCACAGGGTCGTTTTCATATCAGGAGATAGCAAATGAAATGAACTTCATAAAGCATGATGCAAGCATGACTTTCTCATTAGTGCTTTAAAAAAAAAATATCATGCAGCATTTTATAGAAGTCTGGAAGTCAAGATCTTCATTTAGTGGATTATTTTCAAATCACCATAACAAAGAAAACCAGATTTTTTTGGTCATATGTACAAAAACATAAACTATTTTATCAAGTCGTCTCTTTTGTTAGGGGAAACTACTGGCTTGATGAAAGTTATAATAAAGCAGAAAAATAGCACAGCCCCATTATGATTAGTGTCCTACTCTTTCATCATAGTAGTGTTTGGAAGCATTATGGCTCAAACTGTTCTTGGTGCCATTGAGTGAATTCTAGTAAAAACCCTAATATTAATTGATGTGGTTTAGATATAAAAAGCTTAATACTTAGACATATCAGCCATCTAAAATGCATTAGAGTAAGGCGAGCTAGAGACTTTGTGAAAGCAACATCTTTTTAATGCTGAATTTGGTCTTATCCCAAGGCAAAAMTAAGCATTTTGCTTAGGTCAGTAAGCATTTGACTCACCTTGCTCCACGACAATAATCTGTGTCTTATCAACCTGGCAAAGGTTAACATCTTCTAAAGTAGGGCTTCAGAAAGAAAGGTTACTTTATTATTACTGAGATTCTTTTCTCAAAGGAAGAATCTGTTAGCACTTAATAAAATATATATATGAAATTGTAATGATTTATTTTGTTACTTAAGCTCCTTACTACTGAAATGGCAAACTACAAATTGCAGTCATTTAAATTCTTGACTGAAGCCTTTCTAGAATCTATTAAGTAAATGCCACTTTGTCACCGTGTTTTCTTTTCTGAACCTTTGCAGATTAGGAAGGTAAACAATTCCAAAGCTGTTGATAGTGCAGAGGATAAACTGAATAAATTACACTCCTGTAGTTTTCTTAAACTTTAAAATTTGTGTTGTATGGGTAGACTTACTTAAGGTTTATTGGCTGTAAGAATTAGATTTAAATTATATTTTGAAAGTTTCACCTTTATTTTAATGAACAGTCAAAGGAGTAAGATCAAGTTAAGATCCGGAAGCCAGAAGTGGGGGTTCTGTCTAGAATTGCAAAAGGAGAAGGAAAACTCATATCATCCTCTGTGTTCTGCAAACCAAAAACATTTTCTCTTTTAATCTGAAATAGTGGGGCTTAGGGTTGTGGCATAGATGAGATTGAGCATCACTTTGGGGGTCTATTTGACAGGCCAGAGCTAGCCTGGAATAAACACAGAACAGAGAGAAGTCTTCAACTCTGGCTGCATGTTAGAATCACTGGAGGAGCTTTAAACATTAACATGGGCTGGGGTTGGGGCTCAGTGATAGCGCACTTGCCTGGCATGTGTGAGGCATTGGGTTCAATTCTCAGCAATGTATATAAATAAATAAAATAAAGGTCTATCAACAATTTAAAAAAATATACATATATATGTATGCATGTATGTGTGTGTATGTATATATGTATATGTATATATATACACATATATTAACATGCCTAGGACCCACACCAGACTGGGCTGTTCATTTAGTCTGAGGTGTTTTTTGGACTGGGATTTTTTTTTTCAGTTATTTTCAATCTTTGTTTTTGCTTTTATTAAACTCCCCAGTAATTCTAATATGTTTAAACTCCACAGTGATTCTAATATGCAGCTGAGGTAGAGAACCAGTAAGACTAAATACTACACAAGTGGTCAAACTACTTTTTTAGGTAGTTGTTTCCAATACTTATAACTTGTCTTCCAGTCTGAAGATGAGAACATCAGAATTAAGTGTAAATATTCTTTATTTTCAGACTGATAGGAAAGAAGTAAGAGGATAAGATCCATATCTATCTGCATATGAACACAGTTTTTACTTTGCTTTCATTAATAGGTTTCTTTCTGCAAAAAAAAGCAGGCATATTCTGTGGTCATATTTAAGAAACCATATTAATATATGAGGATTTGCAATTCAGGCCATATTTTTCTATTTCACTTTCCATCAGAGTGTTTTTAAATAGCTGACAGTCACTACTTCTCAGAATGTACCTGTGAAAACCACCTTGGCTTCCTTAAGTTTCTGTCCAGTATGATCACTTAGTCCTTATATAGTGCTTTTCATCTTTGGAACTCAAATTGTTTCTGGATTTTGCTAATCTGCCCGACTTATATAGAACTATATTATTCCTCTTTTCAGTTAAGCAAAACTGAGGTGTAGAGAGGTGACCTAAGTTAAAACCATATAACATGGTGCCATGGAGATAGTTGATATGCCCAGAATATTTGATGAGGAAAGAGTTTCCAGGCCTGCTCAAGTGACCAATAGGCTTTTCCCACGGGCTTACTGGTCCCTATTACAAAATCCTTCCTTTTTTCAGTCTTGCCCAAATGATCATCATTGTTCCAGCTTGTCAGTCTGGACACCTGTAGATTGTTGGCAACTGATCAGCCTAACTCCAAATGACAGCCAGCGTGTTCCTGAAGTGGGCTTACCAGAAAGCATGGATATCTATACCTGAATTTAAGTTCCAAAATTCTTATTTATTTTTAAGTGTCAGATGATTTATGAAGATTGCAGGTTTTCTCATAGCTCTTAATCCTTTACTTTGTTGAAGCCATCAGTACCATTATGTTGCAATGGTCCACTTTTGGAACAGGGTTTTGTTCTAGGTGTTTTTCTGCCCACAGGGCTCTAAAGTGTGCCCAGCCTATATTTGGTAACCTTGAGGTCCAGAGTGAGGCTTATTTGGGTGTGTATCATCTTTGAAGGACCTCACTACAGATCAGTTTGTAAATCACAGAGATAGATGGGGGTAAGTTTTCCTCAGGTAGACACCAGTGCCCGTACCATATTTGTGTTTATTGTTCACAGTTGGAACTCAAAACAGACAACAACCCCCAATTTCCCTTATATGCTCCCAGCGAACTGCTGTGTCACGCAAGAGAAATAAAAAGAAAAAAGTGCCCCCAAGGACAGTTGAACCTGTTACTGTGAAACAGAAGCCCAGTGTGTTAGAAATTGAGAAGAAGCCAGCAGCAGGGGCCTTGGAGCACTCTGGTCCCCAAGCCTCAGAGCTCACCTCCACCAAGGACAGCCACGTCCTGGGATTCGGCATTGTTCTTGAATCACCTTCCTCAGATGTAAGTTGATGTTTTCTGGCTGCTGACTGTATCGGATATATCTCCCAGGGATTCTATAGTATGAATATGCTTTCTCCTTAAATAGTTCTGCCTAAGACAACTAGACAAACTTGGAGAATAAATGTGAGAAAGAGAAAAAGAAGACCAGTAGTAATTTTCCTGCCTAGAATTTTCTTTTTTGAAAAATTCATGCTGTATTTATTTAAACATGTTTCCATTCTTTATCTCTGAAAGAAGAAGGGTGATGGTGTAAATAATCTGCTCACTAATTTCTTTAACATTTTTAATTTTGAAGTGGCAGTTTTCAATTTCCTCAGTGTAGAAAACTAAAAGAACATAATTAAATCCTTTGTAGATGGGCATAAATGAACAGAAGCATACAGATAAGGTCATACCTTTCTGGAAACACAAACTAATAATAAAAAAAGAAGCAGTAGTGCTAATTCTATTTTATAGATGCAAGCTACACTGCTAATTAGGTGGCAGTGCCATGTCATTTACTTGGTATAATGATAGGTTAACGTTCTGCAAAGGTTTGCTATTTTAATATCATAGCTTGAATGTTGTTGCAGTCCAGGATGTTGGATTATATCTGAGATAGCCATCTGACTGGCTGTTTTATATTCATAGACCGTAAAATGAATTTCTATCATAATGTGCTGTATTTGCCATTGCATACTCTACTTACAATATCTTTATCTAAGTACACTTATGTTGTGAACCCCACTTGTTGGCAGAGTTCTTAAAATAAACATGAGTGAGTGATCTGTTATTATCAGATCTTGTAGGAATCAGATCCTGCTGAGAACTCCCCCAGGTCTATAWAGGACTGGAGTTTGGCCCTACCTTTTAAACTTTAAATAAGAAACAAATTGCTATTTTTTAAGTACTCTCTTTCAAACTGAAGGATTGCTAGCATGTATTCACACTGGGTCTTTAATAAAGGAAGACAACCAAAATAATCATTTTGTAACTTTTTTTTTTGGTTCTGGGGATTGAACTCAGGGGTACTCAACTCACTGAGCCCACATCATCAGCCCTTTTTTATATTTTATTAGAGATAGGGTCTCACTGAGTTTTGAACTCATGATCTTCCAGCCTCAGCCTCCTGAGCAGCTGGAATTATAAGGCTTGCTCAACCACACCTTGCTCATCTGATGACTTTTTTAAAAAATATTTACTTATTTATTTTAGTTGTAGTTGGACACAATGCCTTTATTTATTTATTTATATGTGGTGCTGAGGATCAAACCTAGGGCTTCACACTTGCTAGGTGAGTGCTCTACCGTTGAGCCACAACCCCAGCTTCATCTGATGACTTTTTAGAATAGAAAATCATTTATCCAATCCTTGATGTTGAGGTATTTTTTAAAAATGTATAAGCAGGGGCTGTGGTTATAGCTCAGTGTTAGCACACTTGTCTAGCATATGTGAGGCACTGGGTTCAATCCTCAGCACCACATAAAAACAAATAAATAAAATAAAGGTATTGTGTCCATCTATAACTAAAAAAAATTCTATTAAAAATCTCTAAAAATAATTTTTAAATAAAAATTTTAAAAATAATCATGCTACAAATGTTAATTAAATTAAACATTTAATTTTTAAAAATCACTAATAATTCTACCCTGGATGTCTGCTCACTTTATTAGATCATATTTTTACTGCAACTAAGGGCCTGGTTCAAATCCCAGGTAAATCATGAATTTGGAAACAGAGGTAAATTATTCTACAAAGTACATTTAATCCTAATCATTACTCATTATACTTTCATTTTTCCTTAAATTTTCTAATTTCCTTAAATTTTTAATCCTAAGCATTATTCATTATACTTTCATTTTTCTTAAATTTTCTAATTTTAGTATTAAGAACAACCCATGTAGGAGATGATGTACATCTAATACTAATGACTGAAATTTCTTCTTTCATTATTTTTAAGCTCCAAATGTACTTTAGAGATAAATTAAAGAAGATCTGATAAAGGCTTTGTGTACATTCATGAAATAGAATTTTTATTATCTTTACCAATATCAGTTTTATGATTTCACTTACATATTATATAAAAATAATTTACTTCGTATTCATGATTATTTTTGTTAACAAGAGCTATTAAATTTGATTAAGCACATTCAGAATTATCCATGAAAACTCAGGTGTTGATTATCTCTTTAAAGTAACTTGCTTCTAAAGAAAAGCAGATTATCTGTATGCATATTGCCTTTACATTATTCAGCTGATGCACCATTTGATTCACCTCTTCAACAGAAACCAAAACTTTATCTAGCAGGCATGGCAGTGAGACCCAGCATTGGATGTGTATATACTGTCTAGAGATAGTGCTCCCGGGCATTCATGAGGCTAGCCTGGGGTGGGACATTGACTCCCCAAAATGAAGGGACCATCAATGCCAAGGCACCCAAACTTAGATGTCTTTCTAGTCTTCTATTATTTCTTAGCTGTGAGGCTTTTAAAATTTGTTAGAAGAGGAAATAATACCTATCATCTACAAAAATTGTGTATTTGAAGTTGAACTCTCAGAAGTATGCAGGGCTGGGAGATCAGATCCAAAGTCATAGGATGGGCAAGTGGTTCGGTGTTGATAGAACAGCTGTCTGACTGGCTCTAGTAAAAGCAGGATGAGGCCAGAGACTGAAAGCCCTGATACCATGTTGAGGCCTTCAGCCTTCATCTTGTGGGCACTAGGGAGCCAGTGCAAGTTTCCAATAGAGGAATATCCTGCCTGTGTTTTAGAAGAGTAACCAGAACAGTGTTGTGGATGGCAGAAAGGCAGAGAGAGGGAATATTAGCATCAAGGGGAGCAGAGGATGATCACTGTTGTCAACCAGGGAGGAGACTGTGATGGTCTGGCAAGTGCAGGGACCCTGAGAGAAAGCAAAACGTGAGCTCGGGAGGAGAGACTTTCACTGGAGTGAAAACCCTAGATTTTTACCTTGGAAAACTGGGTTGGTTACTCACTTGTACTGCCAACTTTAACTGAGAGAGGGAAATAAAAGCAGAAGCTAGCTTTCTGTTCTGGAAAGCAAAGAGAGTGAGTTAAGTGCCCTCAAAATGTTTCTAGACACAAAGTGCACAGAAGAAAGATTAGTGCTAGGAACAATGGAAAAATGAACATCACACCTATGCCTTATTGCTTTCTTTAATATGTGTGTGTGTGTGTGTGTGTGTTTAGTTATTGATGGACCTTATTTTATTCATTTATTTATATGCAGTGCTGATAATTGAACCCAGTGCTTCACACATGTGAGGTAAGCACTCAACCACTGAGCCACAACCCCAGCCCCTTTATTACTTTCTTAAATATATAAAAAAAAAATTACTGTGACTTTTAAAAATTCAGCATATTAAGTTACCTTTTTAACACTGGGACTTGTATTGTCACACAAATACAAATGCACATAGCCATGGCACAAAACTGATGTGAGGGCTACATGGAGCTGTAGATGATGGCAGGTGGCTCAGGTCTTCTGCCTGGTAGCAATTGTTCCAACTCAAATGCAGAAAAACACTAAGCTCTAATAAGAACTACCTGAAATGTCAATACCTTGGTGTTGTGAGCATTAAATAATCCATAGAATATGGGAAAATCCTGGGGCTGGGGTTGTGGCTCAGTGGTAGAGTGCTTGGCTAGCATGCATGAGGCACCAGGTTCAATCCTCAGCACCACATAAAAATAAATAAAGACATTGTGTCCATCTACAACTAAAAAAAAATTTTTGAAAAAAAAAGGAATATGGGAAAATCATATTGCAGTGCCTGGCACATAAAATGTACTCAATGAATGTTATTTTCTTAATCTGCAGATGAAAATATAACCGCATTTGTATTAAAGATAAAATACACTTATGAAACATTGGATCTATACTTGGCTTTAATTAGAACCTTGGCTTTAATTAGAACTCCTCAATTTAACCACCATTTGCTTGTTCTTAATACCGCTACCCACCCACCCACCTTTAGGGCTCTAATCTGATCTGAACACTCCTCCTTTATAGAACTTTTCTGTACTCTTTTGTAATTGTTTACATGATTTTCTATCCTTCCACCCCAGCTTCTCAAGAACAGAAACTAGATAATATAAGTAGTCATAATATTCATATCCCATCCTATGCTAAATAAACGATGTCATTTATCCTTACTCTTAGAGATGTTCTTTCTATCCTCCGCACAGAACCTATACAGATTCACACCCAGAAGACAAAGTGCTGGTTCCCAAGCCAGGTCTGTCATCTGCTCTTGTCCCTGCATGAAAGACATTTTTTTCTAAGCACATTTTAGCACCGTTTTTGTATATTATGAGTACTCAGGAACTATTTATGAGGTGATCATTACATGAAAGAGAACCACCATGCTACACTATGGCTATTTATTCTGTTTATTTGGAAGTTTCTTGGGGAGAAGTGAGTCAGGCTGCTGGCTTAGAATCTCAGCTCTGAAACCCTGAGCAAGAGAATCTGCCCCTTCCCTCAGATTTCTTCCTATAAAACAAGAATAATTATAATCTCATCTCATAGAGTCGGCCTGTTGGAAGAAGTAAATGAAGCCATCTGTATAAAGCACTTAGAACAGTGCCTGGCACATTTGAAGCTCCCCATAAGTTTTGGTTTTTCTTTTTTATCCTTAACAGTCCTATCTAAGTAGCTTTACAGGAACAAATGTATTTTTAATTAAACTTACCTGTATGAATGAATAAACAGATGCATATGAACAAATTGTGTTTTAAAAAGGAAGTAGCCAGAAATATTTCTCTTTTAAAGCAGGATTATTTGAACCTTTTTAAATTAGCACATTAAATACAATGCAAACCTAAATTACAAAGAATCAAACCAAATTTCACACTTGGATACAATATTTAACTCTTTATTTTTCTCATGAGTATATAACCCATGGCAGTTGTTCCTTTCTTAGTGACTGTTTTTTAATATATATTGATTTGGTTTTTCAGGTCAGATATACCTGGTATATGTTAGCTTTATTGTTTT